TAAGCCACCAGCGTGCCTGTAGCAAATGTGGACAGAGCCTTCCCAAATCTTCGTTCGCGAAGCCTAGCCATGATGACTGATCCTGTGCCTTCTCTCTGCTACAAGATTCCTGAACATCTTAAATACTTGAAGACTGTTAATGTAAATTCAGTCTATCTGTAAACTGTACATAATAATGTATATATTATGATTACTGACTCTATATATATTATATATTATGATTAATGACTTGCAAATTCAGTGGTTCTGAATTGATTGTGTTCCATAACTTTTGTAAAGTGCTTTATGATCACAGATTTTAAAAAATTAAACTTCTATAGGCTCTTCAAAACGTAAAAAGTACTGTCTTTTACATACAGAGAAACAGGAGAGGGATTGTATAAGGTAGATTCCTGTGATTTTGGGTTTGGATTTTGAGGTAAAGGTCTTCTTTGGTGAGGGAGCTGTGTGCATGTGTTAAGGGTAAAATAGATGGAGGGGAGCATGAGGGAAGGAGGATGTTTTTGTCATTTTTCTTCTCTCTTCAGTAAAGTGATGGACAGACCTTGATGTTTTTTTCTTGCAGTGATATAGTCACAGTTAAACTAATATCTAGAGAGTACATCTCTGCCAAATGAAATATGACTTTAAATTATCTATATAGCTCCCTGTATGCTCAAATCCAATTTACTAATAGGAAGAAAGCTAAACTATCGTAACTGATTACTTTGTTCTGCGTTCTTTCAAGACATCAAGTGAGACTGCATATGACTGTATTTGCCTGACTTATCTACAGGTGCTCATTTTCTTAAACTAACTCAGTGACCTGCCTTTCGTTTCCTCCCCAGTCCCACAACACACATATTGTACACTTAAGGTAGTGTGATTCATTTTTAGGTTTACATGCTGGGTAGTTTCTGCAGAGGATGTTCAGTGCAACGCTAAAGCTTTAGCTACTGTAACTTGCTGAGGCACTTGATGTAATTTCTTATTCTTGAGAAAACTCTCTGGCAGTTTGCAATTACTATTAGCAGCCTCAAAGTGGGTATTTGGGATAAGAAACTTCTGAGCTTTCACACATGCCCACCCTCTACGCCCTTCTCAGTCTTCCCACACAAACCATATGAGCAATCATATAAATTTTTCACTTGGTATGATTAAGGTTGCACTGGAACAAAATGCCAAAGTACACCTGGGTTTAAAAAGGGAAAGTAGGCAAACAGTTTTATATCCACACTCTCCTCCTGCTTTGTGCTCTTTAATCCTGCAATTTACTAAAAATTGCTTTTAAATTAGTATTTTTCTGGTGTATTCTCTGTTCCCAGATGCTGGGGCTCCTATAAATGTGCATACCAATTGACTAGCTCCTTTATTATCACATTGCGTTTATATTCTTTAAATATCCAGGAAGGTGTCTAAGTTAGTCTCTGTGGAGAACCTTCAACGGGATACATGGAATATAAGAGGAATATGCAGTTGTCATCTTATGAGGCTGTGCACTTTATTTGTCTTGCTGCCATTAGAAACATCAACTTTGAAATCAGAATTAATTTATAGTGACTTCTGGCAAACATGTTTGCGTCCATTATGAATGGTTTGCTGCATATTTGATGGATGTTGTGCTGTCTTCAGACTCTCACTTGTAAATGTTCAAAATTGAAATTAAATATCAATTTTTGTGTCTGCTGATGTCAACATAATGCAGAGTGGAACTATGTTTTCTGGTTGACTTTACCAATGCTGACTAGTTCTCTTGAATCTTGTCTGGTGTAGTGGTGTCTTCTTCAGTATAGCCTCTTCCATTTTCCTGTAAGAGAACTTGATAACATAGGGAAGTAACTTGCATCAGTACCAAGTTATTTTCTTATGTGGGTTATATGTTAGATTACTGTCATTTGAGGCCAGTTAATACAAAATACTGTCCTTTCTTATGAAAGTAGTAAAGATTTTTTTTTTTTTTAGTGAAGACATAGAATCATAGGATGGCTTGGGTTGGAAGGATTTTGAAGATCCTCTAGTTCCAATCCCTCCTTCCCCACCGCTGCCCCTGGGCAGGGATGGGTGTCACTGTTCAGCGTGTGATGTACTGTTCTTAGTGCTCTTGCTAATTTCACTAAGCTACATTGTCTTCTCAACTGTTCTTTCTGTCCAGTTGAAAAGGCCATCATGTAAAAAGCACTGTTACTTTGGTGACATTACATATTTGACTTTATGTAATTACTTCATTAAACTATTACTTAAGTTATGACTATATTTGAAAGTATGTTTCCTCCAGTTTAGTGTGATGTTGACTATCTTTAAAAATGTTTTGCTTGAATGGGAATCTCTTTTCTTTCTCTTTTAATTTCCTTTTTCACTAGATTACTGTTTACAAAAGTCAAATTGGAGTCTCTGTGCAGAGGCCCAGATGAAGCACTCCTTACGTGTAAACACATGCTCCAGATTTGGAAATCGTGCTACAATCTCACTAACCCAAGGTAAGATGCTGTAGAATTCTAGGCTGCTCGCTGCCCTGCTCAGCAGGGCAATATTAGGTTAGCAGTCCTGCATTTGCTTGGTCTGGCATTTCATATGAACAAACTAATCCTCTGGGAATCTGGGGGATGAAGTGCAAAGACATCAGTTGATGGTCATGTAGAAGTACCCAGAGTTCTATGAAGTAAGGTATGCCAAAGCTAGTAAATTCTGGAGAGGTGAGCACTGCTTAGAGAGATTGGGTAACTCATCCATTCTCAACGTATTTGTATGGTCTTGGTTTTTTTCCCGATTTGGAGTTTTAGAGTCTTTTATATTGGTAAGCAGAGAGATTGCTGTAGTGGAAATATAGTTCAAGAATTTTCATTAAATAATATGAAAGAGGACTAGACATTAATTAAAACTAAAGCATCAGAGGTCATATGGATATGATATGCTTGCAAAGTAGCATGGCTTTTTTTTTTAAAGGAGGTCTTGCTTATGAACCTATTTAGGTCTTCAAAGGCATTACCAATCGATAAGTTGTTATAGTCCTGTTTGGGTTTCCAAAATGTTTTTGTGGAGGTCCTTTGCCATATATATTTAGCAAGCTGTGAAATAAATGGAAAGGCCACTTAGCAGAAATCCATGCTGGTACTATTCAACATGTTTATCGAGTACCTGAAGAAGAGGACAGGCAGAATTTTCTGCTATTTGGTTGTTTGAAGGGTTGACAGTTTCTGAAGAAGAGATGCTACAGCAGAAGAACTTTGTACCAGGTGGCATCAGATACCTGTGTAGCAGTATGATGAACACTGGCTGTTCAGTTTTTCCTCTAAATTGATCTCAGTTATGTAAATACATGAAACTCTTTAAGATTGAGAGCGCTGACCTAATGGCTGAAGAGGGACAATTGCTTCTCTCCTTAATGAGCTAGTGAGCAGTTGGGAGCAGGAAAGTTTGGAAGGTGTGGCAGGAAAAGCCTGGGAAGGGATTTGAGTCACTCGGAGCACACTGAGAGAGACCAATACTGCCTTGTGGAATAGGGAGCATCCCTCAGGGTGCAGAAAGCAAGTATGTCAGCAACCAGGAAGGCTTGAGCTCAATCGGTTTCAAGTCAAAGTCACTGAACGAGCAGCAGGGACCTGAGAGAAAATTTTTCTTTTACCTTGGTGGGTGGTGGTTTATTTTAGTTAGCTGGTTGTGTGTGTGGGCAGTGGGGGTTAAGAGTTTAGTATCAGAGTGCTGTGCTTTGCAGAATAGTTAAAATTTCTGTGTAATTTCAGAGAGGCTTTGCATGTACTCTGGCACAACTTTTCACCTTCCTTCTCTGCTGTGACATCTTCTACAGAGATCAGGGCTTTAATCATAGCTTGTCATTACTTTGTAGTTGTTGTTGTCTTTGTGCTAAGAGCTACTGTGCCATGTTAAACACACTTTTAATGCCTCCTTCAGACATCAGCGGTGACTGTGAAAATTTACTCTTGGCTGTGTCAGCTTCAAACAGCAGTGGTTGCTAATTCTCATCGCCATTCTTCAAGAACATCGAAGTGGAAAAATTAACAAGAACTACTTTGCATCTGATAGTTTTTCTGCTTTTTTTTAATCTTAACATTTAAATCTTTTCTTGAAGCTCTGGTGATGCGTTAAAATCAAGTTAGGAATGGAATGGACAGGAACTGTGGATAAGTGTCATGATGGAAGGAGATGGGTTTTCTAAATGACACATTCAGAGTTATATCAAACAGTGAATAAAGATACCGAGCTGTAATCTTTCTTTGGCTCATCTGTGTGAAATTTAAGGGCTGAATAACTTCATATGGTATTACAGTGATCCAGATCGGTCGGACTGGGGTAACAATTCTCACTGAGATCTGAAATGTGACTGAGAAGTTCTGTTCACCCGACTGCACTCCTGATATACTGAAGAATGATGATGCAGGATTGTTGTGAAAAGTTAAATTTTCCAAATTCTGCAATTTTAACATGCACTTCATTTTGCTGCAAAGCACCATTTGAAAATGTCTCCCACCGGAAATAATTGAAATTTTTTTTTAATAGTTCTTTAAGCCAATAATAAAAGGTCTTTTAATAACTTTAAACCTTTCTGGAATATTGTTTGTCAAAGGTTTAAATATCCTTTATGCTTATTTGAAGTATCTTCTTCTATTCTGATTTGGACTGAAAACTAATTTTGATGTCTCATTTTCCCAATGAGATAAGAAGTCACTTTTTTGATAAGCTGTGGTTTACATTAAATATTTCTTCTTCAATTCATCTGATTTTGTGCAATAAACTTGGGTTCAATGCCCTCAATAATATTTCAATAATAAAAATAAATTACAGATAACTAGATGTACAACACAAAGTGAGGGCCAAATGCCACAGTGTGCCTAAGATTTAGAACATTTTTTATTTTGTCTTCAGTTGACATACAAATTTTTTTCTCATGAGATGCTTAATATGAATTTAAAACTTTGTGCTGCAAGGCTTGGAAGGTTTAAATGTGTACCTCCAACCTGCTGCTTGAAGCGCATTAGAAAATATCCGAGTATTTTTCCACTTAGTTTGCATTAGGAAAACACAACAAACCACAATGGCAGAGCTGGTCTTAGAAGATACTTAGGCTAAGTGTGGCTTTCCTCATCAGCAACAATGTGGCACGTTGCTGCTTGTGGATTGAAGACAGCAATTACCAGAAAATTTATACCAACTGATGTAACAACTACAGATGATAGTGTGTGTCCCAGAAAGTTCCCTTGTGTTTCATGTGGATTGCTATAATAGTGTTATTTTGTAAGGAAATATTGCAGTACTGTTAGGTAATACAAAATTGTATTTATACCATTTAATAACAGTGGTAGAAAGAGGGGATGTTGTTTCACTGACTTTTGAAGTGTGCAACTCTAAGGAATTATTGAGGGGCTTCTTGACCTTCTCTCAGTTCAAATTTGTAAGGAGGGTGTTGTTAAATTAAGGCAGATGAAGAGATGTGCTGAATTCCAGTCTTGCAGTTTAGATTAAAGTTTCTCAGGCTTTACTTTAAACTAGGAGTTTTGTACAGGTTTTTCTCTTCAGTGAGAATCAGACAAAAGTTTGCACTCTCCAAAGCTGGGCTAACAGTTCAGTTGCTTTAAAGCTTAATTAATGTTTTTGGGGTGCTTTGTTCTCTATTTTTTTTAAATGAGACTTTTAAAAAGATATTCATTGATAGTGAGTAGTACCAGACTTACGATCCTAAAAATGAAATTACTTTATTAAGCATAGAATATTAAAAAAGGAATGCCCATATGTGCTTCCTCACACTTTGCTGACAACGTGTCTCAGTACTTGCCTCATCTTGAGGAGAAAGAGCACTTAGTTCTTCAGTCCCTGTTCTTCTGCTGAGTCTTTAATAGTAGTTCTAGGAGCTATTAGTTTTCCAGCAAGCATATTAACAAGAAACCTGAGGGGCAGATACTGAGTTACAGCTAATATAGAAATTAAGTGCATTTGTCCACAGGTGCAATGAGTGGAAATCACTGCTACTGCATAGGCTGTTAGATGTTAGAAGTGTTCAAAATGTTCCTACTGTGCTGTTAGGATCAAATTCAACATTAGGCAGTTAATATGCAAATGTGCCTATATTAAAAAAAAAATCAAAAAACAGGCAGCCCACCCCACAGCTCTGGAGATAATTGTGATGCTTTTTTATGTGAAGTGAAGTTATGGCATCTTTATAACATCTTTACCAAAAATTAGATGTCCTGAGTTTAGTGTTTCTCTTCAATCTGAGAGAGGTATGGATTTTCAAATTTACATCTGCCTTCTCGGCTTTCTGTGGTAGCTGTACTTCATATTATATAAATATTTAAGGCACAGTAGATCCTTTCTGTAGAGGTGTTAGTTATGAACCAAATTAAAAGCCATTATTTCCTTTGTGGTTGTATTAATTATGAAAACAGAATTGCTGAAGTAAATACAGGTTTAGTTTTGCTCAGCTTGATTCTGTTTCAATGCAACTGGCTTAATGCGCTATGAGTGGTTAGTGGTGCTTGGTACTAAATTTGGTCATAGCCAGAACTTTTATAGCAAGAACCTTTGTGGGAGTAGGGCAGCATGCAACTTGTATATCGGTGTAAAATTTTATTTTAATAGCTCACGATTTCTGTACTTCACTGCAGTGACTCCGGCCGCGGGAGCAGCCTGTTAGACAGAGCTATTGCTGACAGACGGCAGCTTAATACAATTACATTACCAGATTTCAGTGATCCTGAAACAGGTAAGAGCTACATTTGAACAATGAAATAGGTAAAATGGTATGGCCATAGCTAGGTTTTGCATTAGTTTTTTTAGTTTATTTTGCAAAATGAAGTTATATCTTCACTGTTATCATGTAAGTAGAAATAGACATTGTGTGATATATGATTTTTTCTTTTTTTATTTATGAAGTATTTGCTGACCACATTCTCTGTAAATATCTGTAGTATGGAACTTGCTGAGCTTAGTTGTCTTTTGTTACACAAGGGCTAAAAACTATTATTCTGAACTAGCCTATTTGCCAAAGTCCTGTGCTTTTCAGTCTGTTCGGTACTTGCACATTTTTGTTTACAAGGTAAATCAAAAAAATTTCAGAAGTTTTAATCTCAAAAAAATTGAAGACATTGTTGCTAATTAAATGAATTAAAATCTATGTTAAAATATAATTACATGGGTGGGTAGGCTTACTGTAGACATAGTTGACATTATAAGCAAAATTTATTATAAATTGTATATACTGTATTATTTTTATATACATATAAAAATTGTAGTACACAGGTGCACTACATAAAAATTAAGATTGTTACATGTCAGTAAATACTGACAATATGTCTTTTCCTATATTAATATATTCAGTTATCATAATGCAAACTAATATACCTTAAAACTTATACAGTCAGAAAGCATATGAGACATGCATTCTGTGAAGATTGCAGAAGGAATTGTGTAACTTTTACAGTATCTTGCTTGTGTTCTAAATTTTGAGAGTTTTCTCTTTTCTGGGTTTTATATGAAAACCATAGCATGTTTTTCCTGACACCTTTCAAGAGTGTATTTCTGTTTAATCACACTTTGACACAAACAGCTTATAGAAAAGTTTGCCAAACTATGAATATGAGTACATTTGACCCACAAGTTAAGATACATTGAAATGTGTAATGTGTATCTTTGTTTAGTATCAGAATTGTGCATTACATAAAAATCCAATTTATATATTTAACTTCTGAAAGTTAAAATTGGATTCAATGATCACTCAGTTTTGAATTTAAAATAAAGTAAAAGTGTTCTGTGCTTGCTATAGTGCAAACAGTTATGATTACAAAGATCAGGTCACCTGATTTCAAAGAATTGCAATATGTTATGGAATAATGTAGCTTGGTGCCCCTAATGTGGAATTTTATGTCTCCTTCTATTTGTGTAGTTAAAATGGGGAAGATGACATTATATCATTCTGTGGTGATCATTCTATATTCTGGTCTAGCTCATTGTTTCATTTTTAAGAACATATCTAGATTTTATAGGTTTCATTTACATATATAGATAGACATAGCTATAGATAAAATTTTATGCCTTCAAAAAAGTGCTTTTTGGGGAGGGGTGTTGTAAAAGGGCTTTTTGTGGTTAGTTGTGATTTTTTGTTTGTTATTTTTCCAGTGGGGACATACAGCTTTTGATCTACACCCCCAGGGTGTACTATTTTACATCTGCCACACTTGAGAGCATAGTGAATTGGTGCATTTTAAAGAGTGCAGATTCCTCAATGCTTTTAAGTAAAGATGAACCCTCATCCAAAATGGGGAGCTTTTCAAGAAACTTGCCCCAGATTCAAGTCCTGCAGACAATATCTTGATTGTAAAACAGGATCTCTGCATACATTCTGATTTTTCTGGCAGGTCCAAATTGTCTTTTTTCTGAATCTCAGCTGTGTTGCTAGAACTTCACTGTCAAGGAGAACAAGATGGGAAATTAAAATTATGGGGTCCCTTTTTGATTATTTATCTTATAAAAGGTAATTGTGAAGGATGGGGGAGTCCTTTTTTTTTTTTGAAATTGAGAGTTGGAGTTGGTTTTGTTTGTTGGTGGGTTTTTTCAGTTGTTCATTTTAGCAGAAGAAACCTTGTTGCAATACCAATACTCTGGTATGTTGCAATACCAGTTTCTGGCAAGGACTAGAGCTCTGTTATGTACTCTCTCAATATATATAAAAAAACTTCACATCCAGGATTTGTCCAGAATTTTTCTTCCAGAATATTATATAAAACTTTTGCAGGAATTAAAAGGTTATATATAAGAATGAAAGAAGTGAAGCTTGTCATAGTGTTCGAGAAAGCTTAAGCAGACTGTCAATAACATATTGTTCACAATAGGTAGATGATAAAAACAATAGGTGATCAGGATGTTAGACCTTTATAGGGTTGAAAGAGCTTATCTGCAAACTCTGTGGATCCACAGTGGTTAGAAATGCAGAAGGAATTTGACAAATAAATAAACGAATGTTAAAATGCAAGAAAGTTATTGCTGAAAATCCTCTTAGAATGAAAATGTTTGCTCCCTTCCTTGTTACACAGTGTAGTGCTACTTTGTGTATATGTGTGTATGCACGCAAATTTAGAAGTTTTTCCCTTCCTGACTTTGCTTGTCATCTATGATGATGATGCCATTTGCCTGTCTAGCCCTGAATTCAGTCAATCTAAATACCAAGAAATGAGAGCTAAAATTCAAATCTGAGCTCTTATGTATTTGAAATTTAATTTTTAAAATCCTTCAAAAAATCTAGGTTTGATGGGTGTAAATTCTTTTTTTTAGGTGTGTCAATTAAGCAGAAGTTGACATCTAAAAAAAAAGTTATTAAAAAACTGCTTTATATAGAGGTCTTACCAATATCATAATGATTAAGTTTAAATTTGTGTAGCCCTTGAATATCAAAAGAGTGTATTTTGAGTTTCTTACAAGGCCAGGCTGTTGATTCTAGTGCTCTGGTCAATAACTGTGCCAAATTTACTTTAAGTTTGCCCTCTGTTTCAGCTGACTTGCTGTGAGTGGCACGCACCTATGTTTGTATATGATGATGAAGGAAATAAATATAGAGGGGGGGCAAAAAAAGAGTTTTGATGAATCAATCACTGAAGTAAAATCTCATAGGGAGAGAGACACATTTCATATCCAAAAGTAGATATGTGTATGGAAATCACCAGAGACTCATTGGCTATTTGGTTAAGAGAAGTTGTATTCAATCTTTTAAAAAACAGAGTATTCAATTTGGTTGGAGTCCACTGAGTTTATTATAGGAAGAAACAATATTACTTTAGACTTTGGTCTTTATTTCCCCTTTAATTTATTTTTAAAATTTATGCATTAGAACATAGTGAAAAAAAAATCTTTATTTCACTTTTGTACTCTAGTTTAGTATAGAAGGAGAGTACATATAAGTAAAGGGGTATTTTTCATTGCTGTTGCTCTCAGAAGTGATATTTATTTTATGTAGAAGCCATTTCCATCTTACTGAATCGTGACACAAATGCTTTGCATTTTTGGCATCTATTAGTCCATTAAACCCTGTTGAATCTTTTTTCTTTCCTGCCCTCCCCACACCCCTTTATCATTCTCTTTGTTTCGCTTTTTAGCCTCTGATACTTCCTCATCTTCTCTCTCAAGAACAGAGTCTCCTCTCCAACTGTTTGTATCTTCTCATCTTCCTCATCCTCATCCTAAACCAGATATCTTTATCTGGCCCCATGCAGCCTCTCCATACTGTGACCAAGTTCCTGAGCCCCGTACACCTACTCGCTGTAAATTGGCTTTCTATTCCTGATGGGCATGTTTGTGCTGTATTTTTCTGATAATCTTCACAACTGATAAACTGTGTTTAAATAGATTATGTTTCAACAGAATGTCAATGAAATCCAGCCTTTCAGCTGCTTTTCGTACAAACTTTACATCAATGCTACTAGAGTAGTTCAGGTGGCAGGTTAAAATCAACACAGGTTTTCAGGCATTTCTTTTTAACTCCTTTTAACTTCTGTTAAATTGTCCTTCACTGATACCTTTATAAATAGCACTTTTTTGTCACTGAATTTACTGTAATCCAATCTTGATTGGGTTTTGACACCTAGTCTTTAAACTGATGTCATATCAAAGGTGTTAATTCCTAACAAAACATAGAAAATAAATCTTTGCATATTAGCAAAATTTACTTGTTAAAATAGCTGACATAAGACCAGAGTTTTGAAAACACTAGCTCGCTCATATGTAAGCCTGTAACTGGAAGTTCAGGAAAGCACTTCCTTCAGACTCGAGGAAATCCATGTCCTACAGAAGTTAAGTCTGACTTTCTTGAAGTATTTGAATACTGATTGACTTCTGTTGCAGGTTTGGGCATCGTTGAGTTGAACTTGCTCAGAGCTACTCTATGTATAAACAGTACATCCCAGTTAGCATTAATTGGCTTGTTCTTGTTCTTTCAAAGCTACAAGTTAACAAGAACCTACTCAAGAATGAAGGCAAACTGAAAGAACACTGAAGCCAAAGCACAGATTCGATTATGTGAAGCCCAGATTTTCCACTTCCAAGCTACTGTATCCTCAGGGAAAGGAGCTTCCACCATATGCATGAGAAGTAGCAGAACTATGAAAAAAAATAAAAAAGATATTGGAGTCCTTTGTATAGTGTCAAAACTTATTGAAAGTTAAAGCTGTCTGAGTAAGGAGCGGTTTCCCTAGATGCTTATAGTATGTTAGTATAGTTTCCAGGGCTGAAAAATCTCATGTTCTTTATCTTGCTCAATTCTTTTTTTTTCCCTAGTGAAAGAAGCCTAAGGCATTTTCTATCATCAACTTGACTTCTGTTGAACAGGAACATGACTTTAGAGGTGTAGCATCTTACCTAATTTTTTATTTCTTGAAATTCTGTAAACCTGATTTACAGTTTGAAGATTATCAGAAATCCTCTGGATTTCTTGGAGTTTTTGGCTTATATATACATATAACATTTTTTTTTCTTCTTACTTTGTGTTTTAATTTGTGGTTTGATCTGTCCAAAGGCAATCCATCAGATGCTTACTTTCATGGTTTTTACTCCCTTTTTTCAGTTTGTAAGTAGTATTCACTGTGCATTTCTATTAATTTCTCAAGGACTAAAATCACCTTTTCCTTTACCACAAAACGTACCTGTTTTGTCCATCAGTAGTGGAAGCTTTGATAGTGTGTAGAACAAGGCTGATGCTCTTTGCCCATTCAGAACCCTGAGGGCTGTAATCTTATGAGATCTGAATGCACTCAACTAACACTTGCATTTAATAATTAAAGAGGCAGTATTCATTTCTAGAGGACTGCAAATAAAGATATATTAGGAGGGTCTTGTGTACCATAATGGCCAGCTGCCAGTATGCTGTATTAGAGAAGATTTTATGCCGCTGCTGTTCCTAAAGGAGTATGTTGCAACTACTGTCATGAGTTATAATAAACTATTGCTTTATTTTGTGGTACAAATTTTACTTGTAGAATAAAGGAAGAGTACACTTTGAAATAATGAAATTATGAAGGCAAGCTCAATAAGAGAGAATTAAGAATATGGATCAATAAAAATAACTGCTGCTTTAATCAGGACGTTAAATAATATTCTTTTTCTTTAACCAGTTACCTTATAAAGCTGTGTGTTTAGCCTTGAATAGTAGATTATTTTTTTTTCATTGATTGATTTACCTTTTCATAAATTTTTATGGCGTAGTACAAGACCAATTTGATGAAGGAGAGAAAAGTAAGAAGATACATAAACCAACATGTTTGACAGGGACTAAGCAGAGAAAATCTTTTTCTAAGTGCTGAGAGGATGCTTTATCAATGATGCTGTCTGTACTTGACTGCTGTCATCTCCACGCATAACTTTGCAGCAAAACATAAGCTAGCTTTGTAATTTGTGATTGTGAAAGGTGTCTCAGACTCTTAATGAATTTTAAAAGAAAAAATTTTTAATTTTGGCTAAACCTACCAGTCTGTCTTATTAAATGCATCACTTGGGTGATGTATTAGTCCTGCAGAAGGTACTGCCTCTTTGTATCAAGCAATTGCTTTTCTTAGCATTGAGTTGTCTGTGTGTCACATCACTAATGTTCTTACTGCCAACTGTGTGCATGTAAAGTTGAAAGTCGTGGGGTTTTTCCTCTTTTTTCCTGCATGAGCATTGCAGTTAAAGTATTTTTTCTAAATGTAAATGTTGAAATGTTGAAAACATGATGAATGTAAAGCTGTTGAGTAATATTCTCTTTTACGGCATAAAAAGAAAACCTGCCATAGTGCTTTTATCAGTTGGTATGAACATGTTCCATGGAAGATGATAGTCCAGTCTTTTACTCATTTTCAGAAGGAAAATTGGATGTTCATAACAAAGTGATTTTGTTTTTCTCCAAGCTTGCATTCCAGATAGGTGCTCTTAGAGTCCACGTATTAGTCTATGTCCATCAGGCTACATTGTGAAGAATTTATGAGGAAATGACCAAGAAAAGAACTGAAGAAATCATAACACGTTCATTTACATAGGGTGACTTATAAATGGTATTTAATAGATGGGTTCATGTAGACTCTCCTGTAATATTTAAGAAAAAGCTGAAGAGAGTAAGTTGAATGCTTTATTCACAAAAGTTGTACTGTAGGTGTGACTTGGAAGAGAAAGGTTTCTGTGAGATGACTTAACTTCTTGGTTAAATTGTGTTTGTTCAAGGCTGTTGGTAGGTTTTCTATTTGAGATTTAGTTGAAACACAGAATCTGCAACGTGGTTGCTGCAGCCTGTATGTTAGTATGGTGAGTAGAAACTGTAAATTCTAGACCAGTGCCATTATAGGAAACATGAGTGGGAGGTTATTGGATTTTTATTTAGGAACATTTTGACATGGTTAAGACCTTCTGTCACAGTTTGCAGTGTGCAATGTGATTGTGATTCTAGATGTTAACCAAAAAGTTAGCTCGGTTGGTTAGAGCATAGTGCTAATAACAAAGATTGTGGGATTGATCCCTGTATGGGCCATTCACTTAAGAGTTGGACTCAATGATCCATGTGGGTCCCTTCCAACTCAGAATATTCTGTGATTTAAAGTACTTTAAGTAGTGAATTCTAGATCTTGCAAAGACAGTTCCTGTTTCACACTTGGCCTTTTGTAGTATAAACAAGCTTCAGAGCAAATCTAACTAAATAAAAGCGAGTAGCCGGAATCTATTTGGTGATATAATACTTTTCCAGACCTCATGCTTTTCTATCTCAAAATAAACACTTTTTGCTGCTTGTGGTATTTTGAGGGAATTTTTTCTTGATTCTTAAGTGTCATGCTCTAACAGCAGGTATAGAAGTTGTCTAGAAGAGGAAGGATGTTTGTGTGCGTGAAAGATGTGGTAAAATTTTAAATCAGAAATTGCTGCTACTCTATCTGAGCATTTGAAGGAAGCTACAACAGTGAATTGTAACACTGAAAGTGAGGCTATGTTTATGTTTGGCTGTTGGGTGCTGAACTCAGACCAGTGAAAGCAAAGTGCAGATAAGACTGGGAAGAGAGAGCAGAGCTTACAGTGAAACTATCAGGGAGCCACCAAATAAGTAACTGGCTGTGTAGGATCTGTGAGGCCTCAAGCAGACTTCAAGATGACTTCAGGACCTATACCTTACCCTCAGTTTCTCATAAACCACTTTGTATGTTTAGCAGTTGTAGTTGAAATTACTGTATGTTTTAGAATTGTAATGTAAATATAAAAATCTGAATCTGGGCATCCTGGGCTAGAACAAGGAACAAAGAATTCAGTAAGTTAGTTCTAGTAAGAAAAGGCAGGAATAAAATTGGAAGGAAGGCAGGAAAAAGCTTTTTAGTACAGAAGATCTTTAAATGATTTTTAGTTGTCTGCAAAATTAAAGTTTACTAAATGTGTTTTAACAGAAGGAGGCAGAAATGAGTCAGATGACAGCTAATTGTGGCTATACTGAAGAAGTATTTACGGGTTTATGAGTTAGAGCTATCAACATGAGTGCAATGTACCTGAAAGATGCCCGACTGGACAGTGTTGGAAAAAAAAAAAAAAGAAAGAAAAAGGGTTATAGCAAAGATGTAAATGTATGGTAAAGTATACAGTGAATGTGCTGATTAGATATGCAAGGCTGTACTAGAGGTCATCCTTCCTTCTTTTGTAACCCTGTCCTTGATATCTCTCTTAACCAATGCAAAGAGGGTTATTAAAGAAACAAAACCAAATAAAAAAAGCACAATTATCAATGGTCTTCGCTGTTTTGTGACATCCTTAAGTTCACTACATTTTAAATAAGACTGCAGTGTGAAAGATTTCAAGGGCTGGAATTCCCAAACGAAAAGTTTACACCAAGTTTCTTTGTATGCTGCTTAACATTGATCTTCAATCTTGAACCCCAAGAATCTACTTGTTTGCAATATTGTTTAAATTTAGTTGATTATATTGAATAATCTACAGCCTGAGTTTCTAAAAGTCTAGAAGACTTGCTGTGTATATGTGTATCTTATCTTCAGAGAACTAATTGCTGCAATATGTTAAGGATTACCTCTTTCCTAAGGAGGAAATATAAACAATTTGAATAATACCACTTAAAAAAAATTTTTCTAAGAAGATATTTTATGTTTTTTTCCTCTTTTTTGTGCCACTTAGTATAAAATCCAGGGTAGGAAGCGCTCAGTATCCACTCTGTTTTAATTTTAATATAGGTGGCGCTGAAACTCATAAGAATTTTATCACAGTATAGGGGTTTTTTATTAATAAATTGATGTACAAAAAGTTTTAATAATATATTGCCATATGTGCTTTATGGTTAAGTACTAGAGGCTTAAAATCTAACAGCACATTTTTGACATGAAATTACTTGTGGCCTGGCTAGCAGCCAGAGTCCTTGCTTTACACAGTGGAAAGTATAGGCACTTTTCAATACTAAATTGCATACTTGCTTTTCAGAAGGAAGGGATTAGATAATCTCCTTTGTGTCAATGAATCGCACCTTTTCTTTACAAATTGTTCTGGAGAGACAAGAAGCCTCTTTCACTGTTAGTCCCCTGAAGGGTAAGAAGTGACAGTCTTCAGTGAGGTGCATTTAGAGAAACGGCTGTCAGACAAGAAAAGGGTTGCTGATGACTAGTACTTATTTATGGTTCCCTTGCTAGTATTTTACTTGAAATACACTCCATGTAAGAGTGTAAGAACTTAAACATTTTTATTTCTTCAGAAGTCAAACCTTAAAATAAGATACGCCAAAACTTTAGTGAATGTTCAGCTGTGAAGGCTGGAGTTTGAGTTGTTTCATCAACCAGTAAAGGCGAGCAAGCTCCACTGCCACATACTGTTTCAGATCTCCCAGGCAATTCCTTTTCATAATGATATGAAATGCTAATTATGTCCTGTGCTGCTTTTCACTTGTTTCTGTCACTTAAAGGAAATATGATGCACAGTTTCAGACAAACTTCCTCCTAATCTATATACTGGGAGTTTCTCATGCTTTCTGGTTTTCTGATTTATCTTGTCACACTTAAGAACGTATGTTTTATGTGGCAGATCTCTTCTTTAAAATTCCCATGATACTGAGCGTAAAGGTTTTGTGTATTTCATGACTTCTAGTGATGAGGACAAACTTTTGGGGTGCAGTTCAACTTTTACAGGAATCAGTTCTTTCTTTTATAGTATCTGCAGAACATTTTACTGTCATTATTTATTAATCAGGTCTAGTGAGTCTGAGATTTTGTAATTTGTAATTATAAAACAATTAGAAATATGTTGAGACTTAGATGACAAGAAGGGGTGTCGCTTAAAATATTCATGTTCTTGATTTTAAAAGAAAATCACTACTGGATATGCTGGCAGTAAGTAGCAATCAAAGGTACAATTGCCATTAGGTATTCTCTAGCCATGGCAGCTTTTATCCTTAGTGTACCTTGGGAATGTTCTTTAAGCAAGGGACTTTTTTGCCACAAGGCATTTTAACTCAGACTTCTTGATTAGTCGAGTTTTACATTCAGTGCAGTGTAGTTGTGCATTTGTGATGGGGTATGTTGTGATTGTCTTGTGTATTTTAGTTCTCTTTTTTTTTTTTTACTCTGTTATTAGTCTTAAAATAATCCTCTAATTGCACTCTATGGAAAGACATAGCAAATACTAACATCAAAGTGCATGCAGCAACCTGAAGACTATAGTGTACAATACCATCACAAACCTTTTTTGGATTGTACATTGCCAGAAAAGAAGTGTCAAGTTTAATAGAGAGTATTCATAGTAGCAACCCAAAAAAGCATCAGGTATAGTTACCAATGTCCAGTGTGTTTTTTATATAGTCTTTCAGACAAGAATAAAAGTTTTCATAAGAAGGAAATTTACCCTGACATTTAAAAAAAACTTCTCTAAATTGGTAAATGCAAATTAAATATGAGGAATTTGGGGTAAAGCCTCTTATGAAAAGGGTCACTGTTAAATGTTTTATGCAACGTACATGGCCTTTGTTCTTTCTATGATGGTAAATTTTTTTTTTATTGTTTCTGCAGGTTCAGTCCATGCCACATCAATAGCAGCTTCCAGAGTGGAGCAAGCATTGTCCGAGGTTGCTTCATCTCTGCAAAGCAGTGCCCCTAAACAAGGTCCCCTGCATCCTTGGATGACTCTGGCTCAAATATGGCTTCATGCAGGTATTATGAAAGTAAAATTTATTTTTCTTTGTCCTCCTCTTTCTTGCTAGCCTGAGGACTTGCAAAAATCTGTTTGTTTCATTCAGAATCTGTTATCACTTATCAGATCAAATGTTTTCCAGGTATGTGGCACTGAAGCAAACCAAGAAACTAGAGTTGTTCTGTATGTAAGGCAGTTTATAAAAGATAAGACAGTACTTTTAGAATGCAGTTGTTATCAATGGAGTCATATCTTCTGTAGAACAAAAGGAACACTCTCTCCCTTATCCCTGAAGAATTTAATTTCTGATGTACATAGAGAATCTTAGTATATGGAAAATTAGGTGTCCTGATTCCGTTGAATGCAAAAAGATGTTTGTAAGATTATTGAATAGAGTTCTTGTAACTACAGATCTTTATAATTGGAAATAAATAACTCTGCATATGTGGGGAAAAAAACAGTAGTAGTTGAGCAACCTGTCCCTTGAAGCTGTGATAATGAGCTCTCGTTCAGTTCTCTTCCTTCTGACTTCATTAATGTAAGATACCCAGAATTGTTTGTCTAAATGTGGAGTCATCTTGAGTGGATTTAGTATTGTTATGCTGCTCCAAGCCTCAAGCTAAATGCAATATCAAAAGTGACAGTTACATAAAATTTTAACCAGAAAATGATAATGCAGTGTATTTTTACACAGTTAAAAATGTATAACTTGCAATTGTTTTTAATGATATTTGCATCAGAAAGGCGTAATTTAGGAATCAGCCAGCAATTGTTCTGCTTTGGTCTGCTCTCAGAGCATTTTTCAGTGATATGCTTTTTTTTTTCCCTTCATGTTTATATTTAACAAAACTGTCCTTTATTTCTTAGCATTTTAATTTACCTATTTGCATTAACAGTTTTATTGTGTGAAAGTCATTCCAGGGCAATGGTTCCCAGTTATTAATGGTTTAGTGGTTTAGAGGAAAAGCCCAGAAGATTGGAAAGAAAGAGCAATTACAGTGATTAATAATAGTGATCTCATTTGGGGGTGGAAAGACTCCTTGAAAACAACACAGATTAGAACAACGTAGGGTCCAACAGGGCATAGTGTAGTCTCCTGCCCTGCATCATGGCATCATGGATTTTAAATATTTTTAAACTGTCACAGACAGCTATCCACAGTAACTCTTAGCATCTGTAATGCTGATAATTTCTCGGCCTTCCTTGGCAGCTTGTTGAACTGCTAATTTTCTGTTTGGCTTTTTTTAGTTTTTGTTGGTCATGTCCTGTTGCTGATTTTTCGATTCATGCAAGTGACTGCTGCTGTTTTGCCCACAAAGGAGGGGTCTGGACACACTTTTCTAATTCCTTTCTAGTTCACAACTTAATCAGATTTGCATACACATTGGTGGTTGGCTGCTGCAATCCACTACACAGGCCACTTTTCACTCTTAAAAATATCTATCTTGGCACACGTGGTCTGTAGGCCATATTCTTGACTCCCAGCAGAAGGAAGCATGGGTGGGAAGTAGGAGAGAGCTGGATTGGACAATGAGCTGAAGTGTTGAAGACCCAGTAGAAGGACACTGCTGAAGATGAAGAGTGCTCTGCCTGTTTGTGTATGGGAAGCAATGAAAACAAAAAAACCCCAAGAGATTAAAGAGGGCTGCTGTCTACCTTCAGAGAAGGTTCTGCAACCTGAAGTCTGCTTCCTTTCTTTTTGAAATGATCCTGTTCTTGGTGCTTCTGTTGGTAATTTGTGCTGTGTTTCAGAGTCTTTAGGTATCCTGCTGTTTAGCTGCTTGTCCTGCTACAGTAAATATGCTGAGCCTCGAGAAAGGCTCTTAACTGTAGGAACACTGAGAATAAAGTTTTTTCCCAGAAGCACAATACAAAACAGATATTCTGGAAGGTGTCTTCATCAGTGTATATATAGGTTACTTGCATAGAAAACAGCAATAAAATTACTTAACAAATTACTTAACACCTTACAGCACATATTCTTTAAATAAAAGTGAAGATTTACCATTGGGAAATTGCTTCCTTTTTGAGACTCATGCCACATTTAACTGTTTGAGCCCCTGTATGGTTGTGCAGGGTTTTACTTCTTAATGGGGGAGAGAAAAATCTTTAAAAAGCTTTAAATCTTACAATACAAAAATGAAGAGTTATTCTTCATGTAAGATTATAGAGACATGGAAAAGTTATGTAAATAAGTTCTAATACATGCAAAACTTAGTGGAAGATATTTACCCAAACTAATACAGGTGGTGTAAAAAAATAGAAAAATGCTTGTTCTTATGGATGGATGTACAGTGTCATTTCAGCTGTCATTAGTGTAAATGAGCATGGCATTCAGTCCATAGAAGTTGATTTTGTACACAGTAACTGGCTTTTAATTTTTCATCTTGTTTTTATTAATGGACTGTTTCAGCCTTTCATTTTCGGGCATATCATGTAAAGGTGGAAAATCAGATTTATTTTAAATGTGAAACTAAGTGACTTTTGCAATTAGTCCATTCTTCAGTAGCTCACTGTTAAAAACCTGACCTGTCCCTAAGTGATCAATGACTGTGATAGTCCTTTGAGAAATGCATCAAGACTGAACTCATTATTGCTATGCTGCTTGATTGGAAAATAGATTGATTCCTCAATAAAATGCACATGTAAGTGTTGGAAGTGTTTGAGCCAGAAGGCATTCTTGGTGTTCCCCAGGTGGAGATACTGGAAAGAGCACATCAGATTGGCACCTGGTTTCTTTTTAAACGGCTGCTCCTCTGAGATGTTCCTACAAAGTCTGCTGGCACTTGCTAGTTTTCCACAACTGATTTGTTTGAATTTGTCATGTTAGTTTTTTAACATTTTTATTCAGTTTGAAGTCATTATCTCAGAATGAACAGCTCTCCTTTGAATTCAGAAATTTCCTGAATGAACTTTCATGCTTAACACTTAGCTACAACTTCCATTTTCTAGTCATTCATTCATGCACAGTTTTTCAAAAAGCCTGCTATATATTCTGTTGGGGTGGCGTAACTTCTGGTAGAGGAAAGGAGAAGATTGTTTAAAGTTATTACAGAGTTACTTTAAAAACAAAAGGAATTATTTTATTTAAATTTAATACTTTTAGGAAGGTGTGTTAATAACTCAAATTTCTCTGCTGCAGTTCATGAGCAGGACAGCAAGATTTATTATCTCTTACATTAACAGAAGATGAATTTGTAAGCAGTATTGCAGCCTAGTGTTAAAAGCTATTACTACCATAATTGTTTCTTCTCAAGAAATAGAGAATTTCAACTGTATTCTGTTAAAATAGACAATCTCTGCTTATATTTCAGTCTAGAATTATTGTGATAGCAGACAATCACTAATGGGAGTAATTTTTAGTTACTGAGTATTACTATCTAATAATTATCTTATTAATTGCGTAATTAATAATTAGCTTTACATGTGTGTAAATTATATTTTTCTGAACTTGTCTTTTCACCAAGCAACTTGAGAGTGTGTATTTCAAATTATGTTTCAAATCTGGTGATGCTGGAGAAGAGACAGCAAGACCTGTAGAGCTCAAATGCTTAGCATTTAAATAATGTAGTGTATTTTATACTCACTAAAATGTTGTTTCTCACATAGTACCTTTTCAAAAAGCACTCAAGAATAACAGTACCCAAAGCTTTTCAAAAATATTGTAGGGTTTTTTTAAAAAAACACCTCTCAGTAAAATTCACATTTTCTGCTCTATGTACAGCTCAAAAATTAGGCTACCACTTGCTCTTTGAAGTCTACTAACAGTAAAAGTAAAATCCTAGAAAAATTATATTCTCCTAAATGTTGATTTTGATTGCAAAATTTTATCTGTTCATTGTCTTCCAGAAGAAAGAACTTTGCTGTTCTTTAGTTATACAGTACCATCTCTGACTGTGTGAGGTGGTTCTTTTAGGGTTAGGGGAAAAAAATGTGACTGGATCTGCAATTTCATGTGTTAGTTCTTCATGTGGGTGAGACTTTTTCCATCAAATAACATTTCGGTAGTTTCTAAAAATATACTGCATTAATCAATACATCCATGTGGACACGCTATGTTTGGTAGAATGTGTTCTGTGAAATCACCGAGTCAACTGAGAAGCAAAATAATGCTCCTCTGGTAGAAAAAGATCTGTTGTCCCACCAATAGGATCAGGTCTTAGAGGAAGAAAATAATTTATTCTTGCAATCCTACAAAAATTGGTTAAAAAAATAGAAAATGAGAAAGAACTTTAAACTGTGTTTGCCCATCTACTGCTACTGAAAGTCAATGTTTTGTTAGTCATTGTTATAAATTAATTTTGATGAAAATAATAATTGTGAATATTCATAGCAGGTATCACCTGTAAGTTACAGTTTATACACTCTGCTGTGCTGAAGTTAACTAGTTAGAGATACTGTCAAGTCTATTTGATGCAATTATCTCGGAGAAAAGCCCCTTTAAAGGCACTCAAACATCAGTCTCATTCAGAGTTTTAGGCATAATCCCAAATCCAACTCACACTGTAGTGTGAGTTCCTGATCTGAGAGACTTTAAACCAAGATGGGTGGCCTGTACAGTACAGTGAGAGGCATATCTTGAGCAGTGATAGATCACTTTGCTGTTTCGATGCAGCACCTTGATTTAAACCTTAATTTATAAAAACCTTGTACAGTGCAATACAATAGAATGCAGTTATACAATTACTTTGAGGCTTCATTTTTATTGGGTCTTTACCAACATAAAGAGAAAGATGACCCAACTCAGAATTTTTAATAGTTTTTTCTTGCATTTAGGATCTCTTTATTCCTCTCTTCTCCCACTCTTTCAGGAAGAGATTAGGATAATCCAGCAGGGTAGAGAAATAGCAGTGTTGAAGAGTGTCATAAGAGCTACTGAAGGCAAATACTTGTTCTGTTGTTAGTTGTTAATTGCTTACTGAATGAACCCTTTCTTTTTGCCCTATAGTCAATCTGATTTACAGAAGTGTATGTCTGGCTACTCAGTTGTTTTAAATAGTACTGGAATACTGGCATGCTCACATCTCAAAAATAAAACTAAAATTAAAAAATCCCAGACCTAAGTTATAAATAACAAACTATAAAGAGAATTCTGGGGTTTAAAAAAGCCATTTAGAGGCTGTAACTCCTTTTATATCTAGAAAAGCAACTTTTCTAGAAGAATAATTAATTTAAAATAATTCAGGTAATAATTTATCTTAAAATGCAAATTTTTGGGGGGAATATAGCCTTTGTTCAGAATGAAACTATTTACAAATAGAGCACATGTGACAACATCTAATGTGACAATCTAATGATGAAGCAGGAATCATTAATTGATCCTCCCATTCCTTCCACAGCTGAAGTCTACATAGGGATTGGGAAGCCTGCTGAGGCCACAGCGTGTACCCAGGAAGCAGCTAATCTCTTTCCCATGTCCCACTATGTTCTCTACATGAGAGGTCAGGTGTCTGAACTTCGTGGAAATATTGATGAAGCCAAACGCTGGTATGAAGAGGCCTTATCTATTAGTCCTACACATGTGAAAAGCATGCAGAGGCTGGTAAGTCTTGAGTCTACCTTCATAAGTACTGTCATCTCAACTGATGATATTGTATTGTGAAATCGTGACCCATAGCTTATGAGTTTTGGATCTGTATTCTTATTAAGAAAATGCTTTGGAAACAGTCTTTTCTGGAATTTATTCTGTTGGGATGTAAAAAGGATCTGCAGGCAATAAGACTATTTCAGTCCTAATAGAGACTACAGTAAAAGAAATCATTTGCATCTGCCTAATATTCAACACCATTAGGAAATAAAGATGGCTTGTGCTAAGATACTGTAGTCTAGAGGAAAGACCAGTGATTCTGCTATTCCAAACTAAAAGTTGAATTCATAAAATCATAGAATAACCTGAGTTGGAAAGGACCCACAAGGATCATCGAATCCAACTTCTGGCCCTGCACGGGACCATCCCCAAGAATCACACCATGTGACTGAGAATGTTGACAAAATGCTTCTTGAACTCTGTCAGGCTTGGCACTGGGACCACTTCCCTGCGGAGCCTGTTCCAGTGCCCCACTACCGTCTGGGTGAAGAACCTTTTTCTAATATCCAACCTAAACCTCCCCTGACACAACTTCAGGCCATTCCCTCGGGTCCTGTCACTGGTCACCACAGAGAAGAGATCAGTGCCTGCCCCTCCTCTTCCCCTCACAAGGAAGTTGTAACTGCAGTGAGGTCTCCCCTCAGTCTCCTCTTCTCCAGGATGAACAAGTGCCCTCAGCCACCATCTTTATTGCCCTCCTTTGGACACTCTCTAATATCTTAATATCTTTCTTATATTGTAGCACTCAGAACTGCACACAGGACTTGAGGTGAGCCACACCAGCACAGAGTAGGGCTGATCTCTACATTCTGCATGTTTATTCATTACCTTCATGCTACGTGGTTTCTTGAATTTTTGAAAGGTAGAGAATCAGTCTTGCCCTCAAATGAATGTAGCTTTAAGTACAAAGGTGCCTTCCCCAGCATAAATGTATGTTTTTTTATATACTTCATAAATACATACATGTATATATTCTGTGCTTACTATGTTAGGAAGATTACTTTCTCTTTTAATCCAGTTTTCTTCCAGATAGAGCAGAATATAACAGCTGAAATCAGCTTGTTGCCAAATCTTTTTGTTCAGAAGTGGAAGCTGGTTCCTGCCTAGGTACTTATGAATTATTCAGAGAAATTTCTTGTGCATCCCCGAGGCAAACATATGAGACAAAAGATCAGATAGAAAGGCAGCACAGGGAAAATTTTTTGTTTCGCCTTTTCAGCATTTCAGGATATTTGAGCCTGCTGACAAATGCCAAAAGGTTCCTTTTTCTGAAGGAGCAGACAGTCAACCTAAAGCAGTGCAACTCAGTGAAAATAAAACCTTATTTTTCTAGGTATCTTTTTGTCCCTCCTCTGAATCCACCTTTGAATAAATAGTGTGTAAGCACACAATGCTCTTCAGAATAACTGAGAAATTAGCTGTCTTAAGAGATATGTGAGATGAAAATTACTGGGCTTCCAATGAAGGTTTCCTTTTTATGAGCTTTTCTGAGTCCAAGCTGGGAGGTAACTGTTCATTTCATTGGATTGGCCAGTCCTTTACAAGAATTCTTATAATTTTAAATTTTGTTTCTAAAAGCTTTCTCTACTATTCTAGACATTTTCTGCACTAAAATATTGTATTGAGTAGATTCTGAGAAATTTATGCTGTTTAAATACAAATATTAAAGATGTATGCTATAAAAATACTTGTCTATGTAATTTCATGTAGGGAAAAAGTACAAGGTTGTGTTTACTTCTTGATCTTTTGACTATTGCAAGAAGTATTTTAAGGAGGAAGTTTGCAATATTTAGTCTTTCCTGTGCATATAGATTAATATCTGCACATCCCAACACTTAGTGTGTATTTACGTATTTATTATAAAGGAATATGATCTCAGTGGCAGAGGAGCTATAGCCACAGCACTGTGGAGGTACCAGCCTCTATAAAAACAGTTGAAACATTAACTTCTGATATTTGTGTTCTCAATTCTAAGCTGACAGTTGGTTTATGAACAAAATATCTGTGTAAAAAACCCTTATTTTCTGTGATGAATTTAATATTTTAAAGTTATTTGATATGGCTTTCTAGCAATGCTTGGAAGGTAATATAAAATGCTACTGTTTCCTTGTAAAAATTACCTTAGAGCTTAGATTTATTTAATAAGCTCTGGTGAATTTCTTTTTAGAGGAGAAACTACCAAGTACAGATCATAATAACTTTATGTATAAAATGCAGCAAAAAGACAATAAGATGTAAGGATGACACAAGTTCTAGCATGTAGCATATGTACACACCTCTGCCTCTCCAAGTGAATTTACTGGAAATAGTTGAACCTGCAGTCAGTTTTAAGGATTTTTTTTTCTTTTGATTAAAATTTTAGAGTGAGTGACATCTGACACTCAGTAACATTTCCTGGTGCTAATCTTTGATTTGAGATAGTCTTTGTAGTTGTCCAGAGAAAAACAAAAGCTAAATAAAATATTTTTTTAAATCTGTATGAACGACAGTGGCATATTGGGAATACGTAAGTTTTCTCCTTTTATAATCCATCCTTTTAATGATGTTACAAAACTCTGGTAAGAAGGATGAAAAATTAAATTTTGAAGCTTTACTATTTTTCATTTTGGCCATAAGTCTTTTTAAGTACTTGTTCCTGAATATGATCTACTCTTTCTACACAGAAACAACCTTATTAATCTAAATTACTGAAGAAATGTGTCAATAAAGACCAAAAAGGTTGGTTTTATGGCTTCAGAACTGTTGTACTTCCTCCTGTGACTTGCAGCATGTGCTGTGCTTTGGAGTTCCTGCATAAAGACTCTTGCATTTGTCTCTTGTGTAGAGTCCACATTCTGTTAATGTAACCATGAAGACATGCTCTCTGCAGAAGTCTAATGTATTATCTGAATGAAGTCACTTTTTATTTGCTGATATCAGCTGTTAAAAGATTATATTTTTCCATAATTACAGTTTTCTAAAGAAAGAAGTTCTTACTCATTTTGCTGCTTTTGCTAGGGTCTTCACTGATTTACTCCTGTTCCAAGAGATTACTAAAATGAAGAACAGGAGGTCTTGGCGATGGTGTCAAAACTGGAGCAGTTAAGAGTGATGAAAGAGATCTGTTTGCCAGCAAAATGATAATCATACATGTGAGGGCTTGGGGGGAGGTTTTTGCCTTATTAATGAAAGCCTTAGGACAGTGTAACACCAAATGTTGGTGACTTGATCCACGAGTAAATGAAAAATTGTTTAGTTGTGTTCTGCTTACCTAAACTTGAGAAATTGAACTAACTGGGTCATACTTCTGCATTATCTAAGATGTGAGCTATTCTAACAGAGAGCTGGCTGCAGGGGGCAGCGTGTTTGTGTTCATGCTCACTGCTATCTTTGCCCCTTATAAAACGTTGGGGGGGGTTATTAATTAAATCAGCTGAACAACAAAACTAGTTCTTTAAAATTCTCTTTGGTTCCTTGTGCAACTGAATTATTCCTCATGCAGTTAATGTTTAAATCCATACAGTTATTCACTCTGTTCTGTTGAGCAATGCTCATTTTAAGATCTGCCTTGTTCTCAGGTGCTATTTTTTACTGTTTGTCACTAACTGAAATTTTCTCCAAGCCAGAAGTTATCCTGGCTTGCTATTTGGCTAGCTCTGACTGTTCACAAGATGTCAAGAGGGAAGCAATAACATGTCAGTATTAATTAGGTGTACTTCAGAGAGAGCAGCAGCAAGGCTTTGAACAAATGCAGTGTCCTTTCTTCTTTTTAGGAGTTGTGTAGTGCACTCAGGAAGAACAACGCGAAATTGTGTTCTAAAGGTTTGAAATACTTCAGTTTGTGTTTTGTATTTCAAATAATTTTTTTCTCACACCTAATGAAATTTAAATTTTTCTTTAATTACTTAATTTTGAAATTATGATTCACACTTCAATTGTCACCTGTCTGATTTTGACCAGAATGGATTTATTTGAACAACTTTCTCCATTCTCCCTCCCCTTTATCAGTGCCTCCAGATTTCTGCATTACTGCTGCCTTCCTGCTTTTGTCATTGTTTTCCTCCCCTGTGAAAAAAGAATAAACACACTTTTATCTCCTGCAGTCAGAGTGCTGTTGTGGAAAGTAGCCCTTACTGCTGACGTCCAAAAAGTCCTGAAACAGGCCATCATTCAGTAATGCCTGAAATGGCACTGAATATTTCAATCCATTGTCCAGGAAACAAATCCGTGTATTCTCTCTCAGGCTGAAAACTTCTTAGCTAAATGTAGCTTTGACATGAAATGGTTATCCAGCATTTGTATGTTGTTACAATCCCAGAAGACTGTAGTATTTTTTGAATATTAAGTAATTCATCATAGCACTTGCCAGTTAATCCTATTAGTAGCTTAGTTTCTAAGAGTAGAAAACTAAAACAGAAAGGGAGAAATTACTTAACCAAATTACTCATGTAGAAATTAGTTTTCAAAAAGCATTATCTTGGAGAGTTACATTCCCTACACCACACTGTTAGATATCTGTTAAAGTTTCTATAATCATGCAGAACTAAGGCAGATCTCTTAAGGCTTAGATTAACTATGTGTGCTTTATCTTTCTGTCATAAATATGTTATTATTTATTTCTAACTGTACTGACAGAGTAGTCTTTGGAAATGTGAATTCAGACCCCGTTTGAAGGGATTGTGGGAGTTAAAGAAGAGTAAGTCTAAACACAGTCACCCCAACTAACTTTTTTTCTTTCAGTGAGGCAGTGTTCTCATCTGGAGAATATTTGTTAACTCATTTGATTTTCATTGTCAGGTAAAATTGTTGGTTTAGGCCACATAGGTTTGTCCTAAGCACATTATTCTGGTTCTTATGGGTGGTTTGGGTTGTAACTGATTACCACAGAGCTAAATGCTAATGCCAAATCTCAGGCCTCATTTGACTTACTCTCTAAGTGCATCTGTATGCACGTGGTGATTGAAGAAGAATGGAGA